CATCCATTCGTACGTATCCAGCCTCAATTCAACGAGCTCCTTCAGATTACGGACACGCTTGAAGGTCTCAATCTGTTTCCTTGAGAACTGGCTCACGTCCTTTATGAGAACCGTTTCAACAGACTGCGGGGTAACCTTATCTTCAGCACTTTGCGACTGATAAGGTTGCGATCCGTCCAGCGATATAGCAGTGGCTTTCGTGCTCGACAACGGCAGAACTTTCACACATGCATCTAGAATCTTGGACGGGAGGAGGTAAAACGGATCCTGAACGAGTACAGGATTCTTGCTTATCTTCATCTTTGGCTTCTTCTTGTCGAACTCACTGTGCCTCACAATCACTCCTAATAGACGCTTCTGCGTTTCCATGAGTCATGGCTTGTCCCGATCTAAAAAAATCAATAAATCGATTAAAGTCTTCTCCCCTGCGATTTTTCGACCAGATTCTGCTGCCTCAAACCACTTCCGTCCTTCTTTCTCTCCATATACTGTTTTCTTCTTCAGTTTCCGCGGTGCTCCGACCTTCTTTGCTTTAGGATTCGAGCGGATGATAACTTGATTGTAGGCCTGTTGATCATCTTCATTTTCGCTCGAGCTGATATCAAACTCGAGCCTAGCAGCAGCTTCGTTTGCATTTTCTTCGCCTCCAGGTGTGTGCTCATCTGCCACATTACCACCGTCAGGACTCTTTTTCATCCTTCGTTGACGAACGTTTCTCCACTGCGATAACACAAAGCTCAGCATTTCATCAAACTTTTCTTCGTCTTGAATATCCGCCATTTCACTTGCAATGAGATGGGTAGCTCTCACGGCTTCGCGGTACCGATCAGACTGCGTCCGCATCTTCTTCCGAGTCGATTCTGAGCCGGTACACGAGAACTTCTCGTATGCAGTGCTTAACCTGCTTCAGCGGGCGATTTGGAGCTGTCCATCTGAACGTACAATTAAACATTCATGATTACAGGATTAGTATCCATGATTATAATCATGATAATTCATGACACTTACCTTCGTCAATGCATCCCCAAGGAATGACCGATCCAGACACTCCAACGTGCCTCCGGTAAGCTATATCATGTCGGCAGGGTAGACTCATTGAAATAGAAAACTCGCAGTCACATTTCCAGTCAGAGATCCGCAATCGATGCTCAGAAAACTTCCCACTGACTAGAATATCCCCGGTAACATCAGAATCGTCACTGTATTTGTACAAAGCAGTTTTTTCAACAGCCGTAGCGTACTACTGCTCAATTTGCTGTGCAACGTAATGCGTAGTGAGGCGGAGCACATTCGTCATTTCCTCATCATAGTTGGAGTTCACGAAGCGACCAATTCGAGACTCGTACTCGTTCTGCACTCTGCGATCGTAAGCTATAATGGCCATGATGCACATGGCCATGCTCATAGATCCGTTCACCGCATCCTTTAACTTCCCGAAGAAGCTCTCCGGACGGTTGTTAGTGTGGTTCTTGAAATGCGGGAGCTTGGATCGTAAATACGAAACCCAACGTTCTTAAGAAGCATCCCAGTTCTTTTAAAGTAGTCATAGAATCCACATATTCCTGTTCGAGCCCAAATTCCACGTAGCGATTCATTTGCCTCCTTGTACTGCTCTTCATACTGCGCCTAAACCATCTTATGAATCGTAGCGTCGATATTCGAAGCATCTTCCGACGAAATCTTACCATACTCTGGCTTGGATCGCTTTTCCTTCAAGTATTTGATGACGTGAAAATGGCAGATAATTACTCGAGCCTCAGGGAAGTGCTCTTCAAGAACGCGGATTTCGTTGAGATCCTTGTCAACGACAATAACCCTCAGCTTCTTAATGCGAGTTGGATGAGAGCAATGGCTATGTCCATGTGCCAATCACCGTTGGCTTCAATCAGATTGTTGCACTACAGCACCCTCCCCAAATTCATTCATCCCATGAAGGTAAGCAGTTAATAATTGTACCTACAAACGAATCATGGAAAAATTCATGTTAAATACAGGATTAATTTAGTACAATACAATATTATACAATATGAGCTACCTGTTGGTCTTATGACTGCAGTTAAGCAAAAGGACCTCGCTAAACCTCCCGTAAATGCGGCGCATATGAGCCGTGGATTGAGAAATCACCCCTGTTTCACCAGCATCTGTCTCAGATATCGTAGATACGTTTTCGGGATGCGCAGCAGCGAACGCTGCTATTTTCAGAGCCGTGCTCTCGTTATCGTCCGCGTTACTGGCGGAGGACGCGTGAATCCGCACTAGGTCGTCAACGTCGACTTGAATAATGTTCTGGTCATGTTCCAAAAGGAAATCATAAATGCGGGACCTTTTGGCACCAACCGCCAACATCCCATCGACACGCGCGGTCACAATCGGGTCGGTAAGGCCACGAGACGGAGGGTACGTTGCAAATGCCGCTGGTGAAACAGGATGGTTGTGTGTGAAACAGTCATTTTTCACGATCAACGCACCTTTCGCCATATTCCACTGGACGACGAAGCGAAAGGGGCAATCTGTCAACCGGATGTGCTGGCGAGGCCAGCTACCTTCACTGCGCGACTTGCGTTTCCTCCACGCGTGTGAACAGATGTACGTCCGCTGGTAGGGATCAGCTTCCTCGGGAACCAGCTGAGATGAATTCTCCCCTTTCTTGGTCTTTAGCAACCGCCTGTTTCTCTCTGAGCGTGGCATAGTTTCTTTTACAGGCAGTACTTGCATAGCTCGCGTGCAGTACA